GGCAGTCGGTGCAGAGCGTGTGGCCGCAGCGGGCGCGCGCCGTCCCCGGCAGGCGGCGGGGTGCGCGGACCCCGAGGTTGAAGGGCCGGTAGCAGATATTGCAGTCCAGCTCGCCCCGCTCTGGAAGAGACGGCACCCTCAACAGGAGCTGCATCGTGTCCGCCGCGGACTTGTGGGCGTCGCTAAAGCGGCTGGGTCCGCGGACAGAATGAGCGGGTTGGTCCTGGGGCCGGCGCCGCGGCCTCTCGCCCCTTTTAATAGTGAGACCCCGCCCCTCAGAGGCGTCACCCCGCGGTCAGGCGGCTCCCCGCCGCGGCACGCGTGGGGGCGGTGGAGGTGCGAGGCTGCGAATGCCAACGATGGCGAAGCGGGGGAGGTGGCCCAGGCGATGCTGCACCTGGAAGGTGGGGGGCATAGTACCCCCGACTCCCTCCACGTCTTCCTTCACCCCCCACGCAAAGCCAGCGCTCTTTAGCTCCGTGTGCAAAGTTGAGCCCTAGCCCGAGCCACTGGCATAGGGTTTCTCACTCTTTCATAACCGCACCCAGACATACTTCCTAAGTCCATTCTGCCCAATCTTTAGTGGGCTCCTGGGTGTCTGAGCAGATGCTGCTCTCAATTTTCTTTATTATATGTGACATCCCTGTGTTCTTGTAAGACTGGCTTCTCAAATTTCATTCTCAAACTGCTTGATTCCCAGCTGATATCTCAGCTTAAGGAGGGACCTGAATTCCAGGACTACGGTGTTAGGAATGCTGGGAATCCTTTCCATCCTGAGTAGCCGGGCCTGGACACCCACACACCATTGTGGCTGCAGCAAAGCTGCCCAGCCTGAGTTATGACTCAGAGGTCTGACGTCCCCCACAGGTAAACAGGACATAGTACTCACAGCCCACATTTCCTTGAGGTGTCACACCCACCCCCCAGCTGCCTCCTCACCCTCCTCTCCTGGACTTGGCGTCCACGTTGTGTTGTGGAGGTTCATCGCAGACTCTAGAGCCAGCTTACCAGTTGTGACATTGAGCAAGTTACTCAACTTCTCTGGGGCCTTGGTTTCCTCTTCTATAAAATGTGGATGATAATAGGATTGAATCAGTTTATACATGTAAGGTGCTCAGAAAGATGCCTGGCATATGGTAAACCCACAGCCTGTATTGTGTTCACTGCATCTTCTCAGTACCCAACGTTTTCAACACCCATCTCTTCAGGTCAATACGAGATGGGCTTCTCCACACCCATGGTATGTATTTACTGGCTGTAACAGGCAACATAAAGCTGGTTCTGTTTTTCAACTAAACCGTTAAAACCTTTGAGGTTAATGTTTTGTGAGGAGGTAGATTATAATTTTAAATTACTTTACATCTTTTTTAGAACTTCTGAGTTGTATCATCTTTATTGGGGAAGCTATCTGCTTATTCCAGTGATGCTGTCGTAATTCAGAACTTTTTTGGAACTTCTCTTTGAAATGGTGCTTAGAGATCTCACATCCTTTCATATCTTCATTTGGTAATTAAATCTTAATCTTGCCAGATAGATTTGATTATATAAATGCTCCCAAAGTGTTTGACAGCCAAAGTCCTTCTAAGCTCCAGCCCTGGATATCCAGTCACCTGCTTGACTTCCTTTCTTCTTTATCAAGAACACAAACTGATGATCTCGCTGTCCAAAGCAGCTTCTTTTCCAGTGTTTCCTACGTGGGCCATCAACCCACAGAATCATGGAGAAAAATAGTTTTAAAAAGTTGTTTCAAGCCACTAAATTTTGGAGGTAATCTGTTGTATATCAGTAGATAACTGATTTAGAGAGGGCTTCCTACTGTCCTGAGGATAAAGATAATATTCTAAAATGCCCTATAATGCCCAATATGTTCTGAAGCCACCCTTGTCTCACATTCCGCTTCCATCCCCTCCTTAGACACTGGCTTAGGAGACCTTTGGCTTGTGTGTTCCTTTCTGCCACCAAGCTTTCTTGTGTGCTGTTCCCCTAACCCGCTTGCTTTTACCTTAGCAATACCCACTCATCCTTCAGCTCTCAACTCAGCCTCACCACGTCAAATACCCATTATAGACTCTGGTAACATCACGTGCTTTCCTCTGGACTTTGGACAACCACAGCCGAAGTTTGTATGTGTTTGGTGGGCTGTTTGTTTGCCTTTCTCATCTGTAAACTCCACGAAGGTTGTTCTGAGCCTGGTTTTGTTCACCACTGTGTTCCTGTCCTATACTATAGTAGGACTCAATAAATAAATACTTGTTAAATTAATGAACGAGGTAAGTGATAAATGGTAAATGAGGTGTGACAATAACGGAAGGTTTCTTACAAGGGGTTTCTAACTGCCTCTGAAGGTAATTCTAAGAGGACTTTTTGGCATGTTCTGAGCAATAGAGGAGGCATCATTAAAATAAGATCATCATCCTCCAAGGTAACTATTTAAGGAGAGTACTATTTCGAATTTAAAAGTGTATGTTTGTTACAGAATAACTAACCATAGTTTAGTCATCCATTTCACCTCTTTGTTTCCTCTGCAGTCTTCCAAAATGAGTGGGAGATGGAAGGAGTGGATGTAAGTATTCATTAGTTGATCCGGTTGGTTGCTAATCCAGTAAATGGCAGGATGCTGACGTCTCTCTTTTGGAAATTGGTTTTACTCTGCTCTCCCAGCTTCAGCATCAAGGAAGGGTGAGGAAGGGGAAAGGGAGATGGTGAGGTTGTATTTTAAGGAAAGCAGAGCTCATCCTCCCCTGCCTTGTGATGTTTAAAGGTTGTAACTTCCCACCCACTTTCTGTCCCAGGGAAATCAGAGTTCTTGGGGGAAGAAGAAGGGTAATTCCGTTTGATTCTTCTTTTCTGCCACCCTCACACCTGATCACTCACTTATTTTCTTTTTTACTTATAATAACTCCTTTCCCTCTCTCTGTATCATTTCAACCATAGACTGGTTTTCATTTTACCACTCCTTCACCAAATCCCAAAGCTTCAACCTCTGAAGAGCCCCTCCCACTCAGCCCTAAGAAAACCACCCAGATAGTTTTCCTTGGCACATGTGTGGGTATCAGGCAAGAGGAAAACAAGCATGGCTACTATAGCTTTCAAAACAAAGTAAGGATAAGAGTGTCAGAGGGAGGAGCAACAAAGCTATGAAGCCAGGCCTCTGGGTTCTAAGGCACATGGTAACTGAAGGACAGAAGAAAACTGGCCTGAAGTATCTGGTGCCTGGGTTCTTCCTGAAAGCAGTGACCAGGAGCCCAATGGCTGGGTCACTAAGGTAAACGAGCAGTGGAGAGAAAGGTAGTGCTCGCCTTTCTAATGGCAGGGGGTTAGGGGGGCAGATATGTGATCCTGAGATCCTAGCCTCTCAACTCCCAGCAATTTCAGATGCCATGAGTGATGATCAAGCTGAGATTTTATTTACAGTTCCCTGGGAAGTCTTACACAAGAGGGGCCATCATTATTGCTTTAAGATTATTGTCAGAGGAAGACTACAGCCCTCCACTGCCAGGTAGGAAGTCTTGCTCAAGGCTTAAAAGTTTATCCCCAGGCCTTTTAATGTCAACCCCATTTCTCTGTCGTGACCGAAAGGCTGTCACTGTTTCCTGTGAAGCGTGGCCCAACTGCTTTCCAAGGGCGACCCGGGCCACTTTTGCCAGGATACGCTATACATGGGCCATCAAAGCTCCCTCATCAGTGCTATGTCATTGTATGCCCTACCCTACCCCTCTCAGCAAGAACAAAGTACCAACACTGGTTCTCGTTTTCAGCCCTCGTCCACCTGAAGCAGAGGCAGGCTCCTGGTTTCCCAAAGATTATCATTTACTTCATGCAGGATCAGCCCGGCTTCCTTTGTACTGAATAATGTAAGAGCCCCATTTCCTTTGGCCGTGATGACATCACAGCTCATTTCTTATTAGGCTGTTATTACCCCTTGATGACATTTCAAGGGCCACTTCTGAGGTACTCTGCGTGTGTTTTTGTATCTGCCTTTTTTTCCCCTGGACCTTGGCGATTAGGGGAAGAGGAAAGGGAGCAAGACCAAGTGGCAGAGAGGGCACGGCCCAGTAGCTCATAACCAGGATTAGCAAGAAGACCTCGGAGAACGCAGCAGTGGGCGGCGGACTACTTTCCTTCTCAAGCCCCACTGCGGGAGGATATGGCTTTGTTCATGCTATCGCTACTCGAAGCCGGAACTCGTTAGTGGGCGGGGACGCCCCACCTCAGCCGCTAAATGGAGGGATCCGGAGCGGGAGGGTCTCGGGGCGGAGGCGGGGAAGTGTTTCACAGACTTGCAGCGGCTCTGGCTTTGGGTTCCTGCGCTCCCGACGAACTATTTCTTGGGATGCGGTTTGCTGCCCAAGAGCCCATCTATCTCCATCACCGTCTGCGGGGTCAGCTGGCTCAGCACCTGGAGGAGAATGGGGTGGTGGAGAGGGCAGGACATGCAGGGTCCCTGAAGAAGGGCAGGAGGTTCGAGGACTCTGGGAGCAGCACAGCCAGGACAAGTGGCAGGGAAAAAGTTGCAGCGGTGCCCCTGCCTTGCCTTCTCGCCCTAGGACTTCTTATCTGCAAAGCGAGGACCTTGTAGTGGGTGACCCTCACAGGCCGTTCTGGGTTGGACAGCAAGGCCTTGACCGCTGGGGAAGGGGAGAGAGATGGGCTCTGCCTGAGACCCCACTCACCTGTAGGGCGCCCAGGTGTTCTATCAGCTGCTCTGCACTGGACACCCCCAGCAAGACTGAGCTGACACCCTCACTGCGGAGACACCACGCTGAGACAGAGGAGGAAAAGAGAGAGAGAGAGAACTGATGGGAAACAGCACATAGACTTCAAAAGTGTCTCTGAGGAAGAGGGTCCTCCCTGAGGACAAACCCATCTGTGGTTTGGCAGCATCTCAAGAGATGACAAGGCCCCTGCAGGGTCCAGGGCTGGCAGTGTCTTACCAATCGCAAGCTGCGCCACAGTGCAGCCCAGCTGGTGAGCGATGGGGAGAAGGTCCATGACTTTGGCTTGTTGCTTCTTGCCGTCGTCACTCTGCACTTTGTCTTTGAGCCACTGGTAGCCCTGGAGGCCAAGAAGAATTAGCAAAAGACCACTCCTCAGATAGTCCGCTCCTGCCACCCTGACCCCCAGATCTCACCTTGATGGTGACCCTGCATGTATCTGGGACTCGCCCATCATACTTGCTAGTGATGAGGCCACAGGCCAGAGGGGACCAGGTGACTGAGCCAACACCTAAGAGGAAGAGGACTGAATGTGGGAAAGGGATCTAGGTGATGGTGAGGCCGAGGGAAAGGTAGGGATGAGGGGACTGCAAACCAATCTTGTGGTAGAGCTCTGGCAGCTGCATCTCCACTTTCTCTCTCTGAAACAGATGGTGCTCAGCTTGTTCACACACTGGAGGAATCAGATTGAACTGTCTGGCCATGGAGTAGGCCTCCTAGGTTGGGGTAAGGAAGAGTTGGGAGTCAGAGCACTCCTTCCATTTTCTCCCATCCCCCTCCTCCAGTGGAGTGGGGTTTGGAGTGGCTGTGTGAAAAGTGGGAAGAGGTTGTGGGATAGGGGGAAGTGGGTGGAACACTCACCATGATTTCTGCAGCCCCCCATCGAGACGTCCCCCAGTATAGGGCCAGACCCTGGTTGATGACGTAGGTCATGGCTCGCACAATCTCTAGGCACATAGGAGAGGAAAAGCCTCACTGTCAGACCCCTGGCATCCGGGTTCCAGATCTGCAGACCTCTGCCTGCTCCACCAAGACCCCACTCATCCCTGTGGAGTTGGAGAGGTTGGTATCTGCTTTTCACTTCCCTCCCTGTCCAAGTCCTGGGGTCTGAGCCTCCACTGTGGAGCTTGGGAGGCCTCCTGAGCAAAGGCTGGCTTCATGCTGAGGGTTTGAGAAGTGCTTAGTTTTGAAGGGCTGTCAGGGTTGGGGTGATTTTACCCTCCATAGGACTGTTGGGGTCTGAGCGATTGGCAAAAACAATGTCCACATATCCCAACTGGAGGCGTTCCAAGGATCCTCGCAAGCCTGGGGTAAGGATGGGGAGAGGAAGGTAAGTGCTAACGCTTCAGTTTTCTAAAGATTCAGACCTTACCTCTTTGCCATGGCCACCTAAATCCAAGCTTTCCTATTCAAAGTCTTAGACTCAGAGCTTCAGAGAATGTTCCCAATGCCTCTGGCTTCCATCCCCAGCCTCCTCAGGTTCCCAGCCCCTAATTCTCACCCTCGATGATGTGTTTGCGGCTCAAGCCTCGCTCAGTTTCTGCCCTGTAGGAAAAGGTAAGTCAAAGATGAGGTGTGTCAAAGATAAGGGACCGAGGCTGGCCTGGAACCATGAGGAACTGGGACTGCAAGGGTTCTCACAGGCAAAATACAGACAGGGGTAGCAGGTACAGGGACTGCTGTCCCCACCCCCATCCCTTGCACCTTCACACAGTCTCTGTAGATCTCCCCAATTACAGTGAGGCAGCCACTTACTGTCCTCCCCAAAAAATCTTGGTGGTGATGACATAGCTTGATCTCCTGGAAAAAAACAGAAATGGGAGAACCAAGAAGAAAAGGATTTTTGAATGATCATGTCTCCAGCAAGCCCCGCCTCCCCCAAACATGCCTTACCTCCAACCTTTGCTCTTGAGGATGTTGCCTAGGGTTCTTTCAGCCCTGGAAGGAAGACAGTGCAGAAGAATTGACCCCTCCAAGGTGGATCAGTTTCTTCTCCTCCTTTCCACCTTTCCTTTCAACTAACTTCCTCTCTTGTAATACGGAGCATAAATCCTCATCCTAGACCGTAAGAGGGGTTCCTGGAACTAGGATATAGTCGTATTGTTTTCATTCATTCATTCAACAAATATCAGTTGTGCATCAACTGTATTCCAAGCTCTGTTCTGGGTGCTGAAGGGACTGGATAGGATGAGAGGAGAGAGGGACCAGCTATGGCAGAGCCAGGGAGGACACTGCTTCATCCAGTTCCAATCATCTGCTTTGCCCTCCCCCTTATAGCCTCTGCAAAATCCCACCCATCCTCCAGAGTTTAGCTTGGACTAGGCCTAATTTTATGGAAAATGTTCTCTGATTGCTATAAGCTATGTTCAGTCCTTGTCAGCTTCCATAGGTCTTACTGGCTACACAATTCTTTGGCACTTAATTATGAGTTAATTTGTGACAAGTCTTAAATCATGGTGGGCTGTTACTGAAGTGTTTCATTGTTATTTAATCTTTCATATCTCCTTGTCTTTTGATTTGTTTAACCACTTAGACTGTGAACTTTTTAAGGGCTTACTGATGGCATCCCATCAGTGCCTGTTCTGTGCTAGGCTCTGTGCAAGTACTTAGGTGACATGGGGAAGAGCAAGACAAGGCCTGTGGAAGGAGGAGCCTCCCAGTTGAGCAGCGAATGTGGTTTGTAAACCAATAATTGATGAACTATGTGCCAGAGGGCATATAAAGTGCTTTGGGAGCTGAGGGGGTTGGTGACCAACAGTGGGGAGTTGGGCAAAGACTTCTCAGAAGAGCTGACATCTGAGCCAAGTCTTAAAGAGAAGCAGAAGAGTTTGCCAGAAGGGGAGGAGGCAGGGGTAGGTTATCCTAGGTTTTGGCTATTCCCAGTGTGAAACCATGTGTGATGTGGTTCAGTGTGTTTGTCATTTAGGTTTGTCATCCTCACATAGTTGCACATAACTGATGTCCAGGAAATATTTATTGGTTTTATTTTATTTTGACCACACAGTATGCCCCATTGCTCTCAAAGATGGAGAGAGGCTGATGTTGGGACTACAACTCCCACTGGCCGAAAAGTTGGAACTTAGTGAGGCAGAGTTCCTGGGGTTCTTTAGGGGGAAAACCAAGAAGCCCTGATGTTCTCTCGGCCTTCCTAATGTAACTTAGCTCTTTGACCCTGGTCCTTACTTTCCCGCTGCGTACACTTCGGCGGTGTCAAACAGGTTTACACCATGCTCATAGGCTACTGTCAGCACATCCTCTGCTGTCTAGGATGGTAAGAGAAAGAGTTGAAGATCAACCACTGGCCTCTCAGTTACCTTCCTCACTGCACCCTAGCCCATCACATGCCAACCTTGGTTTCCATGTTCACTCCCCTTTCCCCATCCTCCACCCTCAGGTCCACCATTCTCCATGCTTGTTGTCCAAACCCCTATCCAAGTCCGTTTCCCCCCTTTTTGGTTCCCTCACACCCCCTCACCCTGTCTAGGCCCCATCACTTATACCTCATCTGAGATCTGAGAACCAAATGTGACCCAGGTACCTGGAAGAGAGAAGCCAGGCAAGTGAGACCTGTGGGGGCCAGCCATGAAAGAACACCCCTTCCTTTCATTCCTCCTCTTTCTGACTCACCTAGGCCAAGACAGGATACCCGAAGACCAGACTTTCCTAGGTTCCTGCAGGATATAGAAGCAGCAGGAAGGGGTGGAGACTCCATTAGGGACATAGATTATCAGCCTCCAGCTCCTCTCCTTCCAGACTGAGATGCCCTCAGGATGTCTCAGGCCAAAGAAACTAGACTCAGTGGGCCCACTGAGTTGGGCAGTGCTATGGCCGTAGTGTAAGTGAACAAATGACTGTTCGTCTGGAGCCACTGTCCAATGCCTCTTTTCCCTCCTATCACATTGCAGATGTGCTGCCTGCTTAGCGTTTCTTCTGGTGGGTCTTGTCTGTGTCTGAGTCATCTCTGGGATGTGTGGAGTCCAGATGGGGGGGTGGGGGTGGCTGGAAGGGATGTAACTGGATGATCGTGATGTTTGTGAAAGCAGGTCCTCAGAGTGCTGTGCTAAAGGGCAGACCCTGGGGTGGAAGGGGTAAACCAAGTCAAGTTCAGGCACTCAGGCAGGAAGGGTCTTTGGGTAGGCTAGGCAGATGGGCCTCCAGCAAAGGCAAATAGGACACCTGGGGAGGGGCCTAGCAGGAAAGGTAAGTTCTCCCTGTTCCCCTCTGCAATCCCTCTGCTCCTGTTGGCTTGGGAAGTCTGTCTTCCAACCAGAAGCCCCCTCTTCCCAAGACCCACACCCAGGTAGTCGGCTCAGCTGCTGGATCAGGACCACCACACCAAGGGGATCAGATTCCTCAAGTGACAAAGCCAGGTCAAATCAGTGACCTCTGCTCACTCCCAAGTAGGAGTCCCTCCCCTGCCCCCTACTGCTAGTTCTGAGAGCCCTGCAGTTCTCCGAGATAGTCGGTTACATTTCAGTCCACCTTCCCCACCTGGCCCCTGTCCCTCAGCATGGGGTTGAGAGATGTGGTCCATCCTTCTTAGGGCCCCACTGCCCTCCCAACTAAGAAAGGTTGCAGGAGACCTTGGGGCAGCTGGGGTCAGTATCTGGGTCAGGCACCCTGAGCAGGCCAGAGTGAGAAGCTGTTTCCTTCCCCTCTCTTCCCAGGACACAGACCCAAGGACGCTCCAGAGGGGTGCGCAGCCTGGAGATCCATGCATCCCTGGCCTTCCTGGGGGTAAGGAGGGAAGCTTGGGAGCATTGCCTGGTCTGACAGGACCCGGTCAACCTTGGCAAACTTGATTTTCTACTAGTCAGGGGTATCGATGGAGACCAAGAGAAGGAACACGGAAAGGAGTGATGGCAAGAAGAGATAGAATGAGCCGGGACCTTCTTAGTGAAGTCTGAGGGGGTCCTGGCAGCATCCCAGGAAGCTTCAGGGGTCAGGAAAGGGGAGGGCTCAGGAGATGTGGCGGGCTGCCCGGCCACCGCCATACCTGTATTTCATGCCAGTGCCTCGGCCGGTGCTCTCTCGGAGGGCCCCAGCGGGTGCTGGGGGTCGGGGGACCACTGCGGCCCGAGCCTTGGGGCCCGACCCTCCTCCCCCTCCACCCGGAGGGTTCCCATGCCCCCCGCCGACTGGCCCGCCATTACCGCCCCCGGGGCCCGGCCGGGGTCCACACAGACGGTCCTCACTGCTTCGGCTGCGAAGGTTCTGCTCGGTACAAGCGATAGACACCTGCATGCCGGCTGGCCAGGGCCGGGGAGGGGGCTCCGAGGGGGCGGAAGGAGAGAACCGGGAAGCCCGAGGGGAGACACCCGCGGGTGTAGTGGTGCGAGCCCTGGGAGAGCGGGAAGGGTGAGGAGGCTGCGGCGGGAGCCGCCAGGCAGGATCGGGCCCGCGGGGGCGGGCTGCTGGAGGTCGCGGGGTTTGCGGCGGGAGAGGAGAAACGCGGGGGGGCGCCACGAGTGGAACGATTAGGATACGGGGGCACTGCCGCGGGGAGCAGAGGGAGAAACGGATGAGGGTAAAGGTCGAGGGCGATCCTCTGTGGGTAGGAACCTCGGGTGGGGGGGTGAGCAAGGAAGAGAGAGGCCACCTTAGCCCGAACCGCAGCGGGACCTGCTAGGCTCCCAGTCGCGTCGGCAGCGGGCCCAGCTAATCAACATGCAGGCACCGCCCCCTTATCTGCATAAGGCCGCCTCCTCCCTGCCAAAACCTGCCGCTTATCTGCATAAGCTCCACCTTCCGAAGCCCAGCAGCTTGATTGTTCAGTGGGCTCTGAGGAACTAGAGAGTAGAACCAGGACGGTGGTTCTCCACTTCTCTGGACCTCGAGGCAGGTCGGCCTTACTCCAGCCCAGTAGTTTTCAATACGGGGGTGACTTTGTCCCCTAGGGGATATTTGGCAAGGTCTGGAGACATTTCTGACTATCACAACCTTGGGGAGAGGGTGGGTGTGTGTGTGTCTGTGTGTTATGTGCCGCCAGCATCTAGTGAGTGGCAGCTAGGGCAAAGCATATGGCAGCCCCCTACATATACACACAAGATATTACCCAGCCCCGAATGTTAATAGTGCCTCCACTAAGAAACCCATGGACAAAGCCTCTTTGCTGGCTCAGGGGATGTGGACACCCTGGTTCACACCTTCATGAGTGGGGCAGGCCTAATCGACCACTCAAACTGCAGAGGGTGACAAAAAGTTTATTCTGTACTTCTCGCAGCGTCAGACGGGATAAAACTGGAGAGAGGACCAGGTTTGGAGGTGAAGGGACTCCTGTAGCCTGCCTTCCTTTGATGCGAGGGCTTTAGGCTGTTCCCCTGGGAGGACTGCCCCTTGGCAGTGGCGGCTGGGACGAGGGTGGGGCAGCAGGGCTTGCAGTGGGGGCCCTCAGGTGAAACAGGTTAGGAAGGGCCCCAGACAGACAGGGATTCTTCTGAGGAGTGAGGTAGAGTGCTTCCTTCAGCCAGCCCGGGCAGAGAAGAAGGGCAGAGAGCGGACGTAGGTGTCCAGTCGAGAGCGGAAGAGCTCACTTTGCACAGTTTGGCCCAGCGGGCACAGGGGATTCTTCACCACTAGTTCCACATACAGCTGTGGAGGGGGAGGGTGTTAGAGCCAGGCTTTGGAGACTTCTTGTTGTCAACCCCAAATCTAGTATAACCTCAAGGGTATGTGAATGCACGGGGATCAAGGGCTGGGAGGCAAACCCTCCTTGAGGAGAAAATGGTGGTGCGAGTATATAAGGACCTAAAGGGTCCCGAGAAAACTGACTTCAATAGAGAAACAGTAAATTAGGATTGGGACAGGAAAGCTGAAGGAATCCTGGGACTCTAAGTGGCCATGGCTGTTGAGGCTTTAGGGGAAGGCTCCAAGGGGCTGGCACTGACCGCACTGTAGATGTGGTGCAGCACATCTCGGATGGGTCCCACGCCCAAGTCAGTATTCATGACAACCTTGATCCCAGTGGGTGTCTCGTAGTAATGGAGTTTGTAACGGCTAGTTTGGAAGGCCAGGAAGCCGTCCTTCCTGCAGAGATGAGGATGTTAAGGAATGGGAGCGTAATCTCTCCCAAAGAGATACTTCTGATACCCTCTAGGTTGACTCCCTCTTTAAACAAAATCATTCGTAGGAGCCTGGGTGAGTAAAGACACCTCCCATCTTCACCCCTCAATTTAGCTCCTGCACCCAACCTCTAGCTTCAGATCTTCCCCACCACCGTTCCTGCCAGCTTCAGCACTCTCTCTGTCTTCTTACCCTCTCTGGGGACCAATGTCACTTCCACTCCAGAAAGTTCCCCCACCCCCAAATTCCCTCCTTCCCTCAACATCCCCTCAGACTCCACGTACATGTCTAGCGGGGACATCTTGCTGACAAACGAGCGGATAGAGAAGAGCATCCCGTACATCAGCTTGTATTCCTGAAGGGAGAGGGGCAGTTAGTTCTCGGTTGTTAAAAAGAGACGGGGCAGGGGTGGGAACGAGCCAGGGTTGGAGAGGAGGGCTGGTCGGGGCTATGTGCATTTGGATATGCGAGGTCACCCAGGTTGCGCGGGGCCCTCTGATCACCTCCTCCTTGGGGATCCCCGCTTGCTTCTTGCGGTGCCACTCGCTGTAATGCAGACACACTCCATTCCGGTCAAACAGGTACAGGTTGTGGACAGTCATCTGCAGGTCAGAGAATGTGAGCCTCGCTGCGGAACCGCCCACACTCCCTGGGCTCCAGTTCTCAGTCCCGGATCCCTCCAACCAGAGGGGTACCCAACCCCCGGACTCACCGGAACTGCTCGGAATGCCCGTCATTGGATACTTCCGGTTTCGCGGAGCCCCGCCCCCACCATGTCCTCACGCTACAGCTCCACCCCTATGTCTCCCTCAGCCAATCGTGGCCTCCGGGTCTGCGCGTGCGTGTTTAGGCTCGGGCTCCAGAAGTTGAGAGCCGCGGAGAGTTTTCCTGTGCAGGTGACGTCATCAAGGCTAGCGAGGCGGGGTTACGGACGGTGGGCGGGAGGCTGCCAATGGTTTTGAGTGTAGGGAAGGGCGCGAGAAAGGGGGTGTCTTGGTCTTCCTGGACCGGAGTTTAGAGGAAGAGGGCAATCCCTCGTTCCCAACTTGGCAAATTGCAGGGCTGAGGACTGGAAGTGTGGCGAGTAGTCGGAACGGTGTGGTCGAGGTAGAGGATCTCAGGCTAGGCTTCAGGCCCTGTACATTTTACGGACGTCTGAGGGCGTGATTGAGTGTTCACAGAGATTCTTGCGGGTAGTAGGGTGGGAGGGATTCTGGGGAGCCTTGCTATGGCTTTCTTGCCAGGAGGGG